CGAGGATTCTGTTCTGAAAGGGCAGAAAAGGAGAATATATATAAGCTGCAATCTGGGGAAGAGATTGCATATGCAAAACATACTCTCTCCGGAATTCAGTACTTGACGAAAGGAAACTTGAAAATGGTTTCTGGTTTCCGGATCTTCTTGATCTCACTTTCGAGGGAGGAGCACTATTCACATTCTGAGATGCCGATTTCCGCTGTTCTGCATCACCTAAGGCAAAACTGCTCTAGAGTGAGTTAAGAGGCGCTTTGAGTGATCAATTTTCGTTCATACCTACAGCGCCATGCCACACAAATTTGGAGCCTGACACGACCTTCATAGGATGAGCTTCGAGGATTCTGTTCTGAAAGGGCAGAAAAGGAGAGGATATATAAGCTGCAATCTGGGGAAGAGATTGCATATGCAAAACATACTCTCTCCGGAAATTCAGTACTGCCGAAACGAAACTTGAAAATGGTTTCTGTTTTCCGGATCTTCTTGATCTCACTTTCGAGGGAGGAGCACTATTCACATTCTGAGATGCCGATTTCCGCTGTTCTGCATCACCTAAGGCAAAACTGCTCTAGAGCGAGTTAAGAGGCGCTTTGAGTGATCAATTTTCGTTCATACCTACAGCGCCATGCCACGCAAATATGGAGCCTGACACGACCTTCATAGGATGAGCTTCGAGGATTCTGTTCTGAAAGGGCAGAAAAGGAGAATATATATAAGCTGCAATCTGGGGAAGAGATTGCATATGCAAAACATACTCTCTCCGGAATTCAGTACTTGCCGAAACGAAACTTGAAAATGGTTTCTGGTTTCCGGATCTTCTTGATCTCACTTTCGAGGGAGGAGCACTATTCACATTCTGAGATGCCGATTTCCGCTGTTCTGCATCACCTAAGGCAAAACTGCTCTAGAGCGCGGTTAAGGGGCGCTTTGAGTAATCAATTTTCGTTCATACCTACCACAGCGCCATGCCACATAAATTTGGAGCCTGACACGACCTTCATAGGATGAGCTTCGAGGATTCTGTTCTGAAAGGGCAGAAAAGGAGAATATATATAAGCTGCAATCTGGGGAAGAGATTGCATATGCAAAACATACTCTCTCCGGAATTCAGTACTTGCCGAAACGAAACTTGAAAAATGGTTTCTGTTTTCCGGATCTTCTTGATCTCACTTTCGAGGGAGGAGCACTATTCACATTCTGAGATGCCGATTTCCGCTGTTCTGCATCACCTAAGGCAAAACTGCTCTAGAGTGAGTTAAGAGGCGCTTTGAGTCAATTTTCGTTCATACCTACAGCGTCATGCCACCCAAATATGGAGCCTGACACGACCTTCATAGGATGAGCTTCGAGGATTCTGTTCTGAAAGGGCAGAAAAGGAGAATATATATAAGCTGCAATCTGGGGAAGAGATTGCATATGCAAAACATACTCTCTCCGGAATTCAGTACTTGCCGAAAGGAAACTTGAAAATGGTTTCTGGTTTCCGGATCTTCTTGATCTCACTTTCGAGGGAGGAGCACTATTCACATTCTGAGATGCCGATTTCCGCTGTTCTGCATCACCTAAGGCAAAACTGCTCTAGAGTGAGTTAAGAGGCGCTTTGAGTCAATTTTCGTTCATACCTACAGCGCCATGCCACCAAATTTGGAGCCTGACACGACCTTCAATAGGATGAGCTTCGAGGATTCTGTTCTGAAAGGGCAGAAAAGGAGAGTATATATAAGCTGCAATCTGGGGAAGAGATTGCATATGCAAAACATACTCTCTCCGGAATTCAGTACTTGCCGAAACGAAACTTGAAAATGGTTTCTGGTTTCCGGATCTTCTTGATCTCACTTTCGAGGGAGGAGCACTATTCACATTCTGAGATGCCGATTTCCGCTGTTCTGCATCACCTAAGGCAAAACTGCTCTAGAGCGACTTAAGAGGCGCTTTGAGTGATCAATTTTCGTTCATACCTACAGCGCCATGCCACACAAATTTGGAGCCTGACACGACCTTCAAAATGTGAGCTTCGAGGATTCTGTTCTGAAAAGGCAGAAAAGGAGAGGATATATAAGCTGCAATCTGGGGAAGAGATTGCATATGCAAAACATACTCTCTCCGGAATTCAGTACTGCCAAAACGAAACTTGAAAAATGGTTTCTGTTTTCCGGATCTTCTTGATCTCACTTTCGAGGGAGGAGCACTATTCACATTCTGAGATGCCGATTTCCGCTGTTCTGCATCACCTAAGGCAAAACTGCTCTAGAGTGAGTTAAGAGGCGCTTTGAGTGATCAATTTCTCGTTCATACCTACAGCGCCATGCCACAAATTTGGAGCCTGACACGACCTTCAAAATGTGAGCTTCGAGGATTCTGTTCTGAAAGGGCAGAAAAGGAGAGTATGTATAAGCTGCAATCTGGGGAAGAGATTGCATATGCAAAACATACTCTCTCCGGAATTCAGTACTGCCAAAACGAAACTTGAAAAATGGTTTCTGTTTTCCGGATCTTCTTGATCTCACTTTCGAGGGAGGAGCACTATTCACATTCTGAGATGCCGATTTCCGCTGTTCTGCATCACCTAAGGCAAAACTGCTCTAGAGTGAGTTAAGAGGCGCTTTGAGTCAATTTTCGTTCATACCTACAGCGCCATGCCACACAAATTTGGAGCCTGACACGACCTTCAAAAGGATGAGCTTCGAGGATTCTGTTCTGAAAGGGCAGAAAAGGAGAGTATATATAAGCTGCAATCTGGGGAAGAGATTGCATATGCAAAACATACTCTCTCCGGAATTCAGTACTGCCGAAACGAAACTTGAAAATGGTTTCTGGTTTCCGGATCTTCTTGATCTCACTTTCGAGGGAGGAGCACTATTCACATTCTGAGATGCCGATTTCCGCTGTTCTGCATCACCTAAGGCAAAACTGCTCTAGAGTGAGTTAAGAGGCGCTTTGAGTGATCAATTTTCGTTCATACCTACAGCGCCATGCCACGCAAATATGGAGCCTGACACGACCTTCATAGGATGAGCTTCGAGGATTCTGTTCTGAAAGGGCAGAAAAGGAGAATATATATAAGCTGCAATCTGGGGAAGAGATTGCATATGCAAAACATACTCTCTCCGGAATTCAGTACTGCCAAAACGAAACTTGAAAAATGGTTTCTGTTTTCCGGATCTTCTTGATCTCACTTTCGAGGGAGGAGCACTATTCACATTCTGAGATGCCGATTTCCGCTGTTCTGCATCACCTAAGGCAAAACTGCTCTAGAGTGAGTTAAGAGGCGCTTTGAGTCAATTTTCGTTCATACCTACAGCGTCATGCCACCCAAATATGGAGCCTGACACGACCTTCAATAGGATGAGCTTCGAGGATTCTGTTCTGAAAGGGCAGAAAAGGAGATATATATAAGCTGCAATCTGGGGAAGAGATTGCATATGCAAAACATACTCTCTCCGGAATTCAGTACTGCCGAAACGAAACTTGAAAATGGTTTCTGTTTTCCGGATCTTCTTGATCTCACTTTCGAGGGAGGAGCACTATTCACATTCTGAGATGCCGATTTCCGCTGTTCTGCATCACCTAAGGCAAAACTGCTCTAGAGTGAGTTAAGAGGCGCTTTGAGTCAATTTTCGTTCATACCTACAGCGTCATGCCACCCAAATATGGAGCCTGACACGACCTTCAAAGGATGAGCTTCGAGGATTCTGTTCTGAAAGGGCAGAAAAGGAGAATATATATAAGCTGCAATCTGGGGAAGAGATTGCATATGCAAAACATACTCTCTCCGGAATTCAGTACTTGCCGAAAGGAAACTTGAAAATGGTTTCTGGTTTCCGGATCTTCTTGATCTCACTTTCGAGGGAGGAGCACTATTCACATTCTGAGATGCCGATTTCCGCTGTTCTGCATCACCTAAGGCAAAACTGCTCTAGAGTGAGTTAAGAGGCGCTTTGAGTCAATTTTCGTTCATACCTACAGCGTCATGCCACCCAAATATGGAGCCTGACACAAACCTTCAAGGATGAGCTTCGAGGATTCTTTTCTGAAAGGGCAGAAAAGGAGAGTATATATAAGCTGCAATCTGGGGAAGAGATTGCATATGCAAAACATACTCTCTCCGGAATTCAGTACTGCCGAAACGAAACTTGAAAATGGTTTCTGGTTTCCGGATCTTCTTGATCTCACTTTCGAGGGAGGAGCACTATTCACATTCTGAGATGCCGATTTCCGCTGTTCTGCATCACCTAAGGCAAAACTGCTCTAGAGTGAGTTAAGAGGCGCTTTGAGTCAATTTTCGTTCATACCTACAGCGTCATGCCACCCAAATATGGAGCCTGACACAACCTTCAAAGGATGAGCTTCGAGGATTCTGTTCTGAAAGGGCAGAAAAGGAGAGTATATATAAGCTGCAATCTGGGGAAGAGATTGCATATGCAAAACATACTCTCTCCGGAATTCAGTACTTGCCGAAACGAAACTTGAAAATGGTTTCTGGTTTCCGGATCTTCTTGATCTCACTTTCGAGGGAGGAGCACTATTCACATTCTGAGATGCCGATTTCCGCTGTTCTGCATCACCTAAGGCAAAACTGCTCTAGAGTGAGTTAAGAGGCGCTTTGAGTCAATTTTCGTTCATACCTACAGCGCCATGCCACGCAAATATGGAGCCTGACACGACCTTCATAGGATGAGCTTCGAGGATTCTGTTCTGAAAGGGCAGAAAAGGAGAATATATATAAGCTGCAATCTGGGGAAGAGATTGCATATGCAAAACATACTCTCTCCGGAATTCAGTACTTGCCGAAACGAAACTTGAAAATGGTTTCTGGTTTCCGGATCTTCTTGATCTCACTTTCGAGGGAGGAGCACTATTCACATTCTGAGATGCCGATTTCCGCTGTTCTGCATCACCTAAGGCAAAACTGCTCTAGAGTGAGTTAAGAGGCGCTTTGAGTCAATTTTCGTTCATACCTACAGCGTCATGCCACCCAAATATGGAGCCTGACACGACCTTCATAGGATGAGCTTCGAGGATTCTGTTCTGAAAGGGCAGAAAAGGAGATATATATAAGCTGCAATCTGGGGAAGAGATTGCATATGCAAAACATACTCTCTCCGGAATTCAGTACTGCCGAAACGAAACTTGAAAAATGGTTTCTGTTTTCCGGATCTTCTTGATCTCACTTTCGAGGGAGGAGCACTATTCACATTCTGAGATGCCGATTTCCGCTGTTCTGCATCACCTAAGGCAAAACTGCTCTAGAGTGAGTTAAGAGGCGCTTTGAGTCAATTTTCGTTCATACCTACAGCGTCATGCCACCCAAATATGGAGCCTGACACGACCTTCATAGGATGAGCTTCGAGGATTCTGTTCTGAAAGGGCAGAAAAGGAGAATATATATAAGCTGCAATCTGGGGAAGAGATTGCATATGCAAAACATACTCTCTCCGGAATTCAGTACTTGCCGAAACGAAACTTGAAAATGGTTTCTGGTTTCCGGATCTTCTTGATCTCACTTTCGAGGGAGGAGCACTATTCACATTCTGAGATGCCGATTTCCGCTGTTCTGCATCACCTAAGGCAAAACTGCTCTAGAGTGAGTTAAGAGGCGCTTTGAGTCAATTTTCGTTCATACCTACAGCGCCATGCCACCCAAATATGGAGCCTGACACAACCTTCATAGGATGAGCTTCGAGGATTCTGTTCTGAAAGGGCAGAAAAGGAGAATATATATAAGCTGCAATCTGGGGAAGAGATTGCATATGCAAAACATACTCTCTCCGGAATTCAGTACTGCCGAAACGAAACTTGAAAAATGGTTTCTGTTTTCCGGATCTTCTTGATCTCACTTTCGAGGGAGGAGCACTATTCACATTCTGAGATGCCGATTTCCGCTGTTCTGCATCACCTAAGGCAAAACTGCTCTAGAGTGAGTTAAGAGGCGCTTTGAGTCAATTTTCGTTCATACCTACAGCGTCATGCCACCCAAATATGGAGCCTGACACGACCTTCATAGGATGAGCTTCGAGGATTCTGTTCTGAAAGGGCAGAAAAGGAGAATATATATAAGCTGCAATCTGGGGAAGAGATTGCATATGCAAAACATACTCTCTCCGGAATTCAGTACTTGCCGAAACGAAACTTGAAAATGGTTTCTGGTTTCCGGATCTTCTTGATCTCACTTTCGAGGGAGGAGCACTATTCACATTCTGAGATGCCGATTTCCGCTGTTCTGCATCACCTAAGGCAAAACTGCTCTAGAGTGAGTTAAGAGGCGCTTTGAGTGATCAATTTTCGTTCATACCTACAGCGCCATGCCACGCAAATATGGAGCCTGACACGACCTTCATAGGATGAGCTTCGAGGATTCTGTTCTGAAAGGGCAGAAAAGGAGAATATATATAAGCTGCAATCTGGGGAAGAGATTGCATATGCAAAACATACTCTCTCCGGAATTCAGTACTTGCCGAAAGGAAACTTGAAAATGGTTTCTGGTTTCCGGATCTTCTTGATCTCACTTTCGAGGGAGGAGCACTATTCACATTCTGAGATGCCGATTTCCGCTGTTCTGCATCACCTAAGGCAAAACTGCTCTAGAGTGAGTTAAGAGGCGCTTTGAGTCAATTTTCGTTCATACCTACAGCGCCATGCCACACAAATATGGAGCCTGACACGACCTTCATAGGATGAGCTTCGAGGATTCTGTTCTGAAAGGGCAGAAAAGGAGAATATATATAAGCTGCAATCTGGGGAAGAGATTGCATATGCAAAACATACTCTCTCCGGAATTCAGTACTTGCCGAAAGGAAACTTGAAAATGGTTTCTGGTTTCCGGATCTTCTTGATCTCACTTTCGAGGGAGGAGCACTATTCACATTCTGAGATGCCGATTTCCGCTGTTCTGCATCACCTAAGGCAAAACTGCTCTAGAGTGAGTTAAGAGGCGCTTTGAGTGATCAATTTTCGTTCATACCTACAGCGCCATGCCACGCAAATATGGAGCCTGACACGACCTTCATAGGATGAGCTTCGAGGATTCTGTTCTGAAAGGGCAGAAAAGGAGAATATATATAAGCTGCAATCTGGGGAAGAGATTGCATATGCAAAACATACTCTCTCCGGAATTCAGTACTTGCCGAAAGGAAACTTGAAAATGGTTTCTGGTTTCCGGATCTTCTTGATCTCACTTTCGAGGGAGGAGCACTATTCACATTCTGAGATGCCGATTTCCGCTGTTCTGCATCACCTAAGGCAAAACTGCTCTAGAGTGAGTTAAGAGGCGCTTTGAGTCAATTTTCGTTCATACCTACAGCGCCATGCCACACAAATTTGGAGCCTGACACAACCTTCATAGGATGAGCTTCGAGGATTCTGTTCTGAAAGGGCAGAAAAGGAGAATATATATAAGCTGCAATCTGGGGAAGAGATTGCATATGCAAAACATACTCTCTCCGGAATTCAGTACTTGCCGAAAGGAAACTTGAAAATGGTTTCTGGTTTCCGGATCTTCTTGATCTCACTTTCGAGGGAGGAGCACTATTCACATTCTGAGATGCCGATTTCCGCTGTTCTGCATCACCTAAGGCAAAACTGCTCTAGAGTGAGTTAAGAGGCGCTTTGAGTCAATTTTCGTTCATACCTACAGCGTCATGCCTTTCTCCTGCTTTCGGAATTTGATAGAGTGGCTTAGTATCGCCTTGGGTGCTAGATGTGGCATTCTTCCGCAACGCATGTTGCTTATCAGGTGCAGGTTGAACGGGTCGGTACGGCGCTTGAATGGTCGAATTATGCTGTTTTCCTTTCTCGGGTGTCTGTGTTCTGATTTTCACGCTCTCGCGTTTTCATGCAGTATGGCGACAAACTTGATTTTTCCTGCTTTCTGCCATTAACGTGTGCTCATGATGAGAGTCTGCTGATCAATTTATGTCTATAGAAGCGGCAGACACGTGGCTCCTACACAGAACACTTTCGCTACAGCCGTGTTCATCTTCTCCCTCAGGCTGACCTATTTGGCAACCACAAAACGAACACAACCACCCAAAAAAAAAACCGGTAATCTAAGTAAGTGAGCAGCATACTATAAAAAACATTTAAAACATTGTGCAATCGAAACAGCCATGGTAGTGTTAGTAGTAGTAGTAATGCATCATGTGGCACTGATATTTGGGAATGTAGCCAAGTTAGCAAGAGTTATTCGCTGCTTCATTGGAAACCTAAAATGTTATCAGCCGACAAATTTTTCATGACACAACGATTATGTTGGAGTCGGTATTCTATGTATAGTTATCACAGCACTTATAAAACATTTTTGTAAACGATGTTCCGGACCTTTTCCCGAGGGGACAACACTTTGAGCGATGCAGGGCTGCGTACTCTTGATAATGCAACGTAAAGTTGGCCGTGAGAAAAGACGTCATCAGGGAGGTATACTCCCACTTTTGAGAGTGTTTGTCCTTGGGCCTTGTTGATGGTAGTAGCGAAGGCAAGACGGATGGGAAATTGACGTCTTCTTAGGCGGAACGGCAGTCCTTTCTCTGTGTAGTTGTCGATTCGAGGGAGCAGCACGTACTGATTCCTTCTGCTTCCTGTGGCGAAGCGACATCCGAGAACAAATCGGCCGAACTGGTCGACAATCAGCCTAGTGCCATTGCAGAGACCCCTGGAGACATCGAGATTTCGCAGAAGCATTACGATACATCCTTGCTTCAACCTGAGTTCATGAGGAGGCATTCCACTTGGACTCAACCTGTTCAGGAACTCAATTTGATAGTTGAGACCTTCTTCTGGGATCCGAATACTCTGCCTCGTCTACACTTTTGTATACTTTCACTTCCAACTGCTCAGACATGCGCTGGAGCGCCAGCTCGTTCAGATGAGCAACGTGCATGTTCTTCGGGGCTAGGATTGCTTTTTCCTGCGAGATCTGCAACGTCATCGACCCCAATTCTTTCACCGAAGATCTCTGTAATCAAGTCTCCATTACTTCGTATTTCGGCTGGTAGCTCAATGAAACCGTTCTCGTCTTCTGGATACGTTCCATTGCCAATCTGTAGAAGCATGTTCGCCCATCCTGCGCTTTCTGGAGAGGCTCTCATATTCGTTGACAGGTGCAGTGTGACGAAATGCTGCCACAAATGGGAACTTTTAACGCAGGCGCCTTCTAAATCTTCTTGTTGTCCCCTCTCTACGACTGGAAGGACTTGACGGAAGTCTCCTCCTACGATCATCAGCTTCCCTCCGAATGGAAGAGTGTTTTGCATGACGTCCTTGAGCAGAAGGTCTACAGCTTCTAGGTCCATTTCGGCACCATGATATTTCGTCCCAAAATATGACAGACACGTTCGAAGAGCTCTCGCTTCTGCAGATTCCCTTTTCATCGCAGACGTTCTGTTATTGTCGTGAATATTGAGCTTGAAAGTGCTGCTAGCCGTTCTTCCTTTGGGCAGCAGGTTAGCAGCTATTCCCGTCCAGGCACGCAAATAACATTCTTCCTCATTCCAAGCAAAGTATGGTACAAAGCAGTATACAGGAAAGTTTTTCCACTGCCTCCAGGACCGTCAATAAAGAAGTGCCGATTGTCTCCGTTGCGCACAGTCCTCAAGATGTTATCCGCAGCAGCTCTCTGATGGTCATTCAACTGTTGCATGAGTTGTTCTCCTTGGGCCATGTGCTCAGACTCTGTGAACTCTTCGTCGCTGATTTGCTGTGGTCTCTGATCAGAAGGAGGTCTAATTAGGCTCCTCAAATTGACTCCGCAAATCATCATCTTATCCATGATATCAAAATAAGCACGAACAATAGCTTCTTCGTCATTTGCTCCTCGATGGATGTAGTCCTCCGCCAATGGCTCTCTTGAACTTGTCCCATAATTGTTGAGGCTCGCAAACAGTGCAAAAGCATAGAAGGCTACTGAAAAGGGACCGAAGTTGAGCTGGCATATGGAATTGCGATGCTTCGTTCAGGCAGCTTTCAAAATGAGAGTCGTCGTTCATTAGTCCGAGGGCCTTAGCTGCTTCCTTGAACGTATCATGGACAACACCATCAACTGTCTTCAAATCGTTGAACGATCTTCGGGCCCCTCCTATTCAACAAAAGGATCCGGAGGCTGTAAGCGTTCCACATCAAGAGGATTAGCAGTGTACATCCTTCCAATTTGACGATTCTGTCTTCTTCTTGCCTTCCACTTCCTCGCTTGTTGGTCAAATGAGAAAAACTCTGGCACCTGTACGTAAAGCAGTGTGCGAGCATCCTTCTCCCCTTGAGGCACTCCATTTTCGCCGTACAAGAGAGTCGTACTCTTCGTTCAGTTTGAAAAAAGCAGTCAGGGTGGTGTCTCTTTCGGCTGCTCGACGAACTGCTTCTTCTTCTCTACCTTCTTGGAAGGTTACAGTCTGATAATCTGGCAGATGAACCTGTAACCTGTAAACCGTGTCGGACTTTGATTGAAGATCGAATCCAAGGAGTCTGTGTACAGCTTCTGGCGCACATACATATCTTGCATTTACGAACTCGTCAATCTCGTTCACCGTTCTGGATTCAGCCTCGTCAGCCCGTGTCATGCGCAGAGCAGCTCGGTCAGGCCCTTTGTACACGTATTTGTACATGTATTTGACGGCTTCGATCATTCCACAGATCTCTACGTTCAAATGGGCGTTATAACGGAGCGCCAAATACCTGTTGTACGGTACTACAGATCGGTTATCAAGAACTTTCCCACCGGAGATGCACGTTCTGCCATCATTCGGTCGACGATACTCCGGATATCCGTCTACCTCTAAGGCTTGTTGAATCCTCGGAAACTGCTTCGGGAATCGTTTGGAGCATCTTCCATCAACCATACACGGCGAATGCGGATTATCCACTCCACAGGGTCTGTGCATCATACACGTCGTCACAATACTGTGGAGGCGAGGTTCTGTGTTCTGATCAGGAATAACAGCTTGCACGATGGAATCTACATCAGCAATGCTTCGCGGTTTGTCTTCCTCTGCCTAATGTAATCAACATGTGGCAGTGCGGGAGTCCTCGCTTCTGCCATTCCATTACGGAGATGTACGCATTCACAGCTCCGAATATCTGTCTCTTGAAGAGATCACAGTAAAGTTCTTGCAACTTGATGTTAAAAACGCGAGCAATGATGTCCGGTCTGTCGGAAGCGGTCTGTCCAGGAATCAGTTGCTCGGCGATCTCTCTCCACGTCGGGTTACACGTAAAAGTAATGAACAGGTCTGGCTTTCCATATTTCGACACAATGGCCATCGCATCTTGATAATTCTGACCATTGCGCGAGGGGATCCTGGGAATGAAGACGGCAGAATCACTCGCCTTACTCCTGGTGGCCTCCGATGTCGTTGTCACCGGCCACATAATCAGCTAGCCCACGATAGCTGTCCACTCTGAGTTCCATTTGATGGAGTTGCGATCATAGTTTAGTCGGTTCTGCTCGATTTTAACATAGCTGTCCACCAAAAATTGTTGATAAAGCTTCCCGGCAGAATGAAGGGGATTGAACTCGTTTCTGGAAGCTATCATGCTGGAGTAGTACTCCTTCTGCGTGATTCTGACTCGACGTCTTTCAGAGGGATTTTTGAGCATGTTCGGATGCCACCCTAGTTCTCCATGCGGGAAAAATATTGGATAGGTGAGTGGGTCGCATTCAGGATCGATAACACGAATGGTTTGCAGTCCTCCCGTTCTTAAGTGCACTGCAAGATTATGCTCAGTGGGAACATCTCCATCATCTCCAACATATATCACGGCAACTTCATTGGTTATTGGAACGTTGTAGCGACGTCGGTCCATGTTAGCCGGTGTTTCGAATACCATTCTCACTGGTTTCGCTGACCTCCCTTCCCTTGCAGCTTGCAACTCTTCCTCTGTAGCCACCTCATTCATCATTTTGTATGCTTGTGCAAAAGGCGTTGATTCTATGCAGAAGTTCACTCAACGAATGCATCAGGCGAGGGTTGCAGCTAGCGTTGGCTGGATTTCCCATCCTTTCCTCTGCTGCCATTGACGTGTCCAGAATGTAGACCTGGCCGTATCGGTGGGGATGACCGTTCTCCGGACGCGCAGGTCCTATTCTGTGGTAAATTTGGCCATGGAATGCGGAAAGCAGTAAGGGCCATGTCCACGTGGGGTATCCAGCTGCGCACCCATAGAGGCAAAAGCAAAGGCGCTGTTGTAGCT